TCTTTAATTTGCCTGGATGTTTAATCGTCAACTCGACCCACGCGATCAATGGCGTCAACGTTAAAGACGTACTCCATTTTTGCAGCATGAGTTGTTACCTCCGACTTTGGCTCCAACCTTATTACAGCCAGCTGATGCTAATGCATTCGCATTTATAACTGTCGACCGGTTTCTCCAACACAGTTGCATATCCCGCAACTGAATAAAAGTCGGTGGACAACGGTGGAATTCTCTTGTTAATGGATAGGACCTTTTGACCGCATTACTGGTCGCCGGATTGGGGAGGTAGGCCTGTAAGTAACTTCTGCTACGCAAATCGCGAGAGATCTAGCTACGATATTAGAGACCCCTTTCCTGAACGCTTCTTCTTCCGCGTTTATGGAGCCACTAGATTTCGTTCTTGGATAGCCGTCACCGCCGAAAAGCTACCAAAGGAAACTAATCTCGTCTCGTTTGTTTGCTGGCGTGCTCAAAGAGGATTTTGTATTAGGTCTGCAAAAATTTCCATTTTTTACGATTAAAAATTCGTATTGGCAAACAATTGTTTTCAGTCAGTCATCTTCATCTTCAGGGCGATACAGTGACGTTGGGAGATAAAACAGTGAGTCATGTGCCGTGGTTATATGGTTTTAGTTTCATTCCCCATGTCATTGTATCGGCCTGAAGATGAATGACTGAAAACAGTTGTTTGCAAATTGGACTTTTTGAGCTCGTACCGCTTTCCACCGCTCTCCACCGCTTTCCACTGGTATCGAGTTGACTCTAATAGAAAATTTCTGCGTGCTAAAACATTTCTCTGATGAACAATGTCCCAGTATATATAGAGAGAATACTTGCTTAATTTAAGATGAAAAATCATAAACTTTCAGCAAAAATGGTTCTTTTTACGGAGAGCAAAGGATAGGTTAAGTAATGGGTCATGATAAAAGTAAAAGGTCATGTAATACTCAAAATTAAAGTTTTATACGATATCCACATCTTCTATGGAGACAGGTCAGGTTTCAACTTCTTAATTTCCGCTTCTTCACGTGCGGCAAGACATATGAGGAATCCTTGACGCATTGGACGGGAAGACTTCGCAGCCATTAGTTCAGGGTGGAGAGGGTTAGCGACATCATTTACGATGCGATCAGCAAATTGCTTGACATTTTTAAAGTGGCGCTGTATTATGTCAGCTGAAAAACATAGGAGACACCGGCAACTGAAGAGAGCATTCGGAGGCTACGTTTAAGAATGACTAGGTCTTTTTTAAG